CAGTCCTAAAATTCCGTTTAACTATACAGGCACACCGCCTAACAATACTATTGTAAGCAACGGAACAAAGGTAGTAGTGCTCCCTTTTAACACTTCAGTGGAGCTAGTTATGCAGGACACAAGCATTCTTGGAGCGGAAAGCCACCCTCTTCATCTACATGGATTCAACTTCTTTGTTGTGGGGCAGGGTTTTGGCAACTTTGATCCAAATAGGGACCCTGCAAAGTTCAACCTGATTGACCCTGTTGAAAGGAACACTGTTGGTGTACCATCAGGGGGTTGGGTTGCAATTCGTTTTCTAGCAGACAATCCAGTTAAGTTACATGTTGAACATTTTTAAGATGCATTGAATGCTTGCTTTGAGTTGACAATGATTGCAAATGACAACAAGAACCGCATTGTTGCAGGGGTATGGTTCATGCATTGCCATCTAGAAGTGCACACCAGCTGGGGCTTGAAGATGGCTTGGATTGTCTTGGATGGTGAACTTCCCGATCAGAAACTTCGGCCTCCACCAGCAGATCTTCCTAAATGTTGATCAATATGACTCACTTCTTTGAGTCCATTTTGATGATAAACCTGCCTGGACCTTTTTCTATTTCGTTTCAGAATTTTTTGTTGTTTATTTCAACCATTTTGGTTTGCTGACCCTTTTATTTTTCTTATGAGGTTGGCCTATCAATGGTCAAAATCTCTTTCCTTGATGAATGTATTTTGTAACAACATCTGCAAATTACAATAAAAGCGGTCGGAATAATATATCGATATCCTTTATTCCTTTTGTTCATTCTATCTTTAGCATCTGAAGTATATGTCTACAATTTGCAACTTCTTCATATTATATTTATTGGATTCTTTTTAAAAAAAAATCATTACGATACCATCTTTTCTATAATCATTTTTTGATAATTTTATATATTATGACATGTTATGAAAAAAAAAATACATTACTATAGATTTTGTCAATATATTGTTATAGTTTGCAAATTGCAAAGTTGTATGTATATGGGCCTAGAAATTCAGGTCTAACCGCACAGGTGCGAAGGCGAACGTCGGCTAGTTTCAGTAGAGATGGTGGGCAAGGTTTGGGCCCAGATGACCGGCTTTTCTGAAGCCCGCAATCAGCAAAAGAAGCAACAAAAGCTGACGAATGATTTGTCTCTCTTATTAGGAACATTGAAGCTAACTATCAAACTCCAAATTCTACAGCCAACTAAAACAAGAAAGTCAATCTTGTGGTTGAAACTAGCTTTAGGGTAAACTTTTTCAGTTTCAACGACGTTCCATGATTAGAAACCTAACCAACTAAAACAAGGGTGAGCTGATGAAGTTGACTATATTATGGCCTCCGCTACGGATGAATAAGAAGTTGTATTAATCTTTTCCCCGACTTTGCATGAAAATAAATACGCACGACAATGACTATAATGCCTGCTGAATCTTATCTAAAAAGGGCTACATATCTGGCACTTGTTTCTCCATTGGTCAGCCAACAAAGTTTGATTGATGATGTTATTGGGAAATGACCCTTTGATATGAATGATGTAGTGACTGTTGGTGAGTTTTGAACGGTAAGATCAAAGTTGGTTTTTTTGTTTTCATTTGAATTATGTGGGGATTGAAGAAGTTTCAGAGTGAAAGAACTAAACCGGCAAACTTTTCAGTTTAGATGATTTGAAACTCACTTTCCTCATATTAATGCTTTTTATTAAACTTTTACCTTCCTTTTGTTGTTGAAAATCAAACCACACGACTAGCTAAGAACTGACATATTGGTTAGGTCTGTGTCTATCGGTAGATTTTTTTTCTGGTTAATCATAAAAACACAAGCACTCTCTGGCTAAATTATCCCACGCCCTACTTTTTTGGCTTTCCTAAAAGTTTTGACAAGTGCAACAAAAATGACATCTTCCTACTTTGAAACACAAATATCAGCTCCACCTTCCCCAAATTTTGCCTCTTTAAACAAGATATATCAATTTTTTTAATGAATTTTACCCGAAATAAATCTTACACCAACATCAAAAAATCGTGGAGTTGGATAAAAGAAGAGAGAGAGAAAAAAATATATACATCTATTATACCGAGACACGGATCATCATGTTGGCATCAACAGAAAGTGTTTTATATTGTGTAATAACCACAGAAATCGTTATTTCCCCAATGGATATGTACAGGGTTCCCCTTTGTCGTCGGATCTTTGTTGTTGACCAAACGACGATCGAAACGCCGAGCCGTCTTTATTTACATGGTAGCTCCATTACGTTGCATAAAAGTAGTCAGAAGGGCTATCAATTCCCCAGCGACTGATGTTCTTCTTATGGAGCTACTACTCTGAGAATATGATACTAGATCCACTATTGGGTCCCTCGTTTCTTTCATTGTGATTCATTTAGGTTCTTAACTCATTTTTATGAATACATCATTTAAGTTAAGAGACGAATTTTTAAAATTTTAGAGATATAAAAAATATAATTAACTTATAATAATTTGAAATCTTGAGTAGGATTACTGCCTCGTACTCTCCTCCTCTGCGGATCCATCCTTTCAAAGATTTTATATTTTAAATGTTTTGACAGCCTCTCGTCACTTATAGAATTCACGTTCCTTAATCGGTCCACTTGCTTTGTTCTGTGCGATTTGAAGCTCATCGACACCATAGTTTTATTAATTAATTTCATTTTGAAAGCCAAGTCAGCCTGGTTGATGATATATCATAATTAATTAATTGTAATAATTTATCCACAAAATCATAATTACCATAATAAATATATGAAAATATATAGTAATAAAGAACACCTGGGTAGCCTATTAGAAATAATTAACAAGATTTCTAACTATATGCTTGTCACATGGGTTTTGCCTTGTAAAATACTTTTAAATCCATTTCTCTTCAAGTGGTGTGGGGTATACCCTTTTCATTTTATTTATTTTCTTTAGGTCCATTTCTCTTCAAGTTAGGCATCATATTTCATATTTTTAGAGGTATTTTTATCTCTTTTATTATTGTTGCTGCCGCTATTGTCGTATGATTTATGTTTGTTTTATAATTTATATTTAGGGTTTATAGTTACTCTTTTTAGTAATATTGTAGATCTATCCTTAATAATGTAAAAAAAATGGCTGTCCCTTTTTTCCCATATGTATGGGGTAAGGGGGAGGTAAGATAGTAGGCTGCCCCCAACACCAGGTTGAGAGCAGCTTCCGTAGGAGACCTCCAAATTATGAAATGCCCTCCGTGGGACTTGATCCCACGACCTCAAGGTTTAGAACCTTGTGCTCTACCAACTGAGCTGGATGCTCTACCAAATTATGTAATACTCCATATATTACTTTTATATATACAATATTTGTTCATATAATTTTACATGTTAGTGTTTGATTAAATTTTGTTATATATGTGATTTTTTTATTCAGATCACCCATCGACAGTTGAAAATTATTTAATAACCAACAATCAGTTAGTCTAGGAGATGAGACACTAGATTCTTTAAGCAAGGTTAGAGGTTCGAATCCTGATGTTTGCGAATGGAACAAATTGGGTTGAAAGGGTCACCCTTACCTCTGCAGTATCCGATCCCGATTAGTCGATCAATAGATCGAATACCAGTGGTTATACCCAAAAAATTATTTAAGAAAAAATAAAACATTAAAGTTGAGATTGAAAAAGAATTAAGGATCAATTTAGAAAATTTTAAACTTTGAGCATTTTTTTACTATATATCATATTTTAATGGTTTGGATGTTATGATCACTTTAATGGGTGACTATACATTAAACTATAAACTCTATAGCTATAGGGTTTGTAATAAAGTATTCAAGTGTAATGATTTCTTGTCTATTTAGGGTGATAGGTAAGCATCTTAAAGCCTTAAGATAATCATCCAAAACGAGGAAATTTTTTATTTCACTTATTTTTTTTAGGCAAAAATTTGAGTAATGCAACTGAAAAATTTTCTTCATTAGTATAATCTAATAATTATTTGTTTTAAGTAGAGTGGTTATTATAGTGGCCACCATAGGTTTATAAGAACATACGGCGACTTCCATAGGTCTACAGGAGCACACGGCGACTTATGAAACATTTGACGATCTATAGAGCTGCAACAACGAGGGAAGAGAGAAGAGTTGTTGAAACAGAGAAAGCTTTGTCGCTATGAGCATTTAGCGACCAATGAGATCACTGTAGTAAACACCCCAGTTCAAAAATAATTTAATTAGAACCCTATAGGGAAAAAAAATTCCAACGTCCTACATGGCGAGGAAGCCTATTTTTTACTCTTTTTATTGATAATATAAATAACATAAATACAAAAGAAACAGATATTAACATAAAATAATTATAATAAAATATAATTATTAGTACAATAATTATATTTTTAAATAAGAATACAAATAATTATAATTTTCTGTACATGTTCAATTAACAAGGTGTGATTGCGCACATTATTAATTAAGGCGAATACAAAAATAAAAGTATTATAATTAATCAATTATGTATGTAATCATTTTAATTCTCATATTTTCAAAACAAAATCTTAAAAAATATAACTAAAATATTTCAACTAAATTCAATTCAACAAAGTCACCGATTACAATAATTATTCAAATACGGCAAACGTGAAAATACAAACAATCACACTAAAATATAATAACTATTTCAATTTAGAAGATCAATGAGTAATCTCTCTTAATTAACAAAATAAAAAAAATTAATAATTAAAAAATATTATTCTTTGAAAATTCTGAATTTAAACAACTTCGTAAGAGAGTGTGCATAAAAAAGAGTAGAAAACTATAATAATTAATTAGAGTTTAGATCATGCAAGAGAGAGGTAGAGCCGGGCACTAATCAAGTTAAAAAAAACATATAATTATATTCATAAGAGTCAATGCCGAACCCAATAAAGCTGACGTCACCTTCACTGTTAGCATAATCAAGCTCCCATGGCGTTGTTATAAATAACAGCTTTGCAGGCTTGCAGCTTCTGCTCTCTCCATCTCCTCTCCTTTCTTCATCTCCTTAGGCCATTAAGAAGAAATTAAAATATTTTGAGATAATAAAAAAAACTCAAAATTAAGTCAATTATAGATACTTCGCGCTCCCACGCTCTATGTTCGGACACCCAACAATCCCACGCTCCTCCTCCGAGGTTCTCAGCGACACCCTGTCGTCTCACGACTTCATGACGTCACCATTAAATTTCCCGTTATGTCCACCAACTCAACTCACTGTGACCGAGTCATACGACTTGTTGAGCGGCAGCGGCAGCAGCAGCAGTGGAAGTTACAACTCGCCGAGTTCGCTACTGAGTTGCTGCACTCAGAAACAGAGCTTCATGCAGAGGAGCGTCAGCAGCCATTCCCTTCAAAACAACGGTCTCTATTGTCACTTTGCTTCAAGACTTAACGAGTTTATTGACTCAGATTCCGTGCCGGTGAGAAGAGCTTTTAGCACCGGTTATCTGGACCAGGTAATTAGTTTATGATAGCCAGATGAAAGCGCAAATTAACCCTTTAAAACATGATTTTGATTTAAATTGAATTTGGTTTATGGATGGGGATAGGAGTGGCAGAGTGGTCGCCGGAGGTCGGAGAGCCCGTTGTCTAATGAGAGTAATGCGAATGCCATAATTGAAGGAATGAGCAGAGCTCACCGCTACACTCCTGAGGAAAAGAAAGGAAGGATTGAGAGATACCGATCCAAAAGAAACCTTAGGAACTTCACCAAGAAGATCAAGGTATTAACTCTTCATTATATAATTATGTTTCATTACTTCTCCCTTATTTTTCACCTTCACTTTATTATATTATCATGAAAATGAACTACTTTTGCCACGTTCATGTTACATGCACTCATCTTATATTCTCAGTTCACGCATGGCAGACAGCAGGCCAAGAGTCCGAGGACGTTTTGCAAGAAATGAAGAAATTGAAAAGAATGTTCCTCAAGTTGAATGGGGCCACCATGTAGGTGGAGAGAAGATCATGAAGAAGATGAGAATTGGACTTATGTTCTTGATTCACTCACGGCAAATATGATTATTCCTTAGTTAAAATGGATCAACAGTTGCCATTCTCCGATATATTAGTGTGAAACATTTAAGAATTTAACTTGTTTTCCTTAAATAGTCTTTGGTTGGTGTTGTAATGTTAAATCTGTTTCAGCTTTAAATAGGTGGTGTTTGTATATATGAACGATAACAGTGTTCATTAATCATTTTGATAATATGGAATTCCATGGCTTCCCTTGCCTGAGCTTTATAAATTAGTAATAGAATATATTTATTTGACATTTCATTCGAATCTAAGTAATATATCAAAAGATAAATACACCAGTCACCACAAAAGAAGAAAAAGAAAACAGGTGAATGAACTGATATTTTTCAGTGCTCTAGTTAATCACGAAATACACCAAGGATAGAGACAATTTCAGGTGCAGCTTACATGTTCCCATTGGAGAAAACTATTTCATTTTGACTATAAATATGAGATAAATGATCTTTTAAAGATTTTTCCTTCTTTGAGAAACCCTCCTAGTAACTGGAAAAAAAAATCTCCAGGAAGAATCCCAATCTGAAAAGGAATACATAAAAAGAAACACTATTGACTTCATTCCTATAGCTCAACAAAATGATTTGGGGTCTTTTTGCAGGCATTTTTCTAGAGTGTTTCTTTTGGGGTTTTTTTCAACCTTACCAATATATTTTGATGTAATCAGAAAGCAGAGAAAAAGTAATATAAAATATGATATGGTTTGTTTTGCTAATCATTTTCATAACTCGTGTTGGTTGATAATGATGGGCTTTGATGTGGCTTATGAGAATCTGAACATAGATGTCTTTAGTTAAAGGCTAGTACTCTTTTTGAAGGCAGCAGAGGGCGGCGATTTTATTTTGTTTGTCGGGCCCTGGAAGCGGCTGTGGTTTGCCCACTAAGTTTGTGGATGTGACCTTTGCATTAGGAAAGGACGTTGAAAATATAAAGTTACTAAGAATAATCCAAGGCTTCCATTATCATTTATCCAAAGTATAATAAACAATAAAACAAGTAGTATAAAACTCCCAGGCATTTCTCTTTATTTCCCCTTCAGATTCATGGTTGTCACTAGAGTATATTCTTTGAATATACGTGAATGGACAATAATCTTAGTAAAGAACGCTAAAAAGGAGGAACATCGGAATTTTTGGGGATTGCAGATTGGAGGGAAAAGTGATGTGGGGTGCTCTCTTTTTAAAGTTTCTTAAAGCCTAAATCCTCGCATACAGTTTTTTTTTTTCCTTTCAAAGTAACGCCCATCGGGTTTGGGATCAAAATCCCATCAGTTCTCATTGTCTTTGAAAATTAAAAACTGGGTTCAGATAGGTAAGTTGTATAATGCCAGGAAAACGAGGCCAATACAGTGAAATCCCATGCGCTTGGGAAGAAGCTAGCCACCTCAATCATGATGGTATGAATTGATTTCGAGTCTAGGCAGTGATAATTAGCCGCTTTTTGGACATAAACTGCCACATTCAATAACTGATGTTTAGTGTTCACATTATCAAGAAGCTAAAATAATCAGTGGCACCACGACATGAGTAGCTCAAATTTGGAGCTAATATGGGTTCCCCTCTCTCTTTGAATGGAAATCGGAGAGTCGTTTGCTCAATGCAAACTGGGTAGCCTTTCATCTTCACTGAATGATTTAGCAATGCGATGCGATAATGTGCAACATGAAACATATTTGAAGAAGTGGATCTCCAAAATACTGTTTAAAAATTGAAATCATATAAAAAATCAGAAATCAAAATTCAAATCCATATATACAGGTTTGACGCCCATTCTTACAAATGGCAGGATTCAATTCACCCCCCTTCAAATGGGCACTCGATTATAGGCAATAGCCATAATTATATTTGATTTCCTTCCTTTTTTTTCATATGTGGAATTCATAGTTTAATGTTTTATCCAATCAAAATTAGAAATTTCCGGCTATTTGGATTACAATAGTCTATAAACAAAATTTTAGGAGTTGAACCATGTAATCGTATAATTTAACATTCTGTCATCTTCACCCTGCGCTCTGATTTTTTAGCTTTTTTCCTCTTGAAAGATACATGACATAAGCTAAGCCGTAAAGGAAATGTGGGTGCTCGACGAGGATTCCTATGTCTTCTTGATTTTCCTGCATTTCATAGGCAACTTCATGTCAGATACGGAGAAGCAAAGCATGTTGATTGTGGGGAAAAAAGAGGCCACGCAAACACAGAAACCAAAAGCCATCTTACTTTCATATATTGATATTAATACCTGATATTCGCTGAACTAAAGTAAGATCTTTAGTTTTGCTACCATCTTCTCCATGCCCTTTCAATTCCAGTGCCACATCTCGAACCTCATCAGTTATGGAAGAAGAGATGCCTGATTCAAGATCTTTCATTTTGCCATCGCCTTCTGCAAGCTTTTGCTCTTCCACCAAGACTGGGTTTTCATGGTTTGCAACCATGGAGTCATTTTTAACTCTCATCTCATTGTCAGACTGCTGAAGTGAAATTTGATCAGCAGTACCTGCATCATCTTCAGAAGTCCTCACTGATATCCTTTCTGAAATGTTTTCAAGCAAAGACATATTATTCAAGGACAATGACGTATTTTCCTGGTCTTCCAGATCCATATCAACTGCAACATCATCCACCTTAATAGTCTCTGCACCTAAATCTACATGAGAAACTTCAGAACTATTACACTCCCCACCCTGCGTAGGAGGTAAACTATTGTTTTCAGATGGAGGAGAAATCTCCGAAGCAGCTGCATCCACTTCAATGTCCACGGCAGATGTCTGATGGGATATGGCATTCGCATTTGTTATTACAGCATTTACACCGTTGCTCACATTCTCATCCAGCAACACCACATTTTGTTCAATGCCCTTTTCTGGGAACAGACCGTGGTTTTGGTTTTCAGTTTCAACAGAGGCAAATCCTAAATCTGAGGCTTGGTAAGTCTCTAGTTCTTCATCAGTTGCGACTGTGTTAGTTATCACTTCCTCAGAACCTGTAGAAGTTTTTGTAGCATTACTTGCAAGGTCTACCTCTTGAGAATCACGAAATACAGAGGTTAGATGTTTTGAACATGTATTATCTAATGCAACATCACCTCTTTTAGGAAGAAGGCATTGCTTGAAGGAATTTTCAGACACCTGATTATTTTTAACAGATAACTCAATTGGATCAGTAAAGCTTTTGACCTCTGTAGGTGACTGGAAGGAAGCCTCAGTTCCGGATATCAAATCCTTAACTTGGAAGCTATGAGATGGCCTCTTGTCAATAATAGAATCAAAATCAATGGCTTTCACAGTTCTAGATACGCTATTGGAGGCAGAGAAAGACTTTGCCATGTCATCCAGCAATAAATCGCCTTCACCACTAGATATGGGATCCCACTTAAGCCAGTCTGCAGACCAAGGTGTTTCAGAGTCAGATGGCTGACTAGATGACACTGCTTCAACTCTGATAATCTCCTTGAAAAAGTGCTTTCTTCTCAAAGCTTTAGTCAAAAGACTCCTGAAAGAGGAAACAATAGGAGTTCTACACAGAATGAAACATTAACTACAACCCTAAAAACGATAAAGTTTTGCGAGTTAGCATACCTACAATTTTTGGAAATAGCTGCTTTTGCTCGTTCCATAGAGAGGCCAAGCAAAGATGCTAAGTTTGCAACATCATTTGGCCCTCTAACTTCACAAACAGAAGGCGCAGCACTAGAAAAAATGATATTTTTTCCTCGAGTCCAATCCAGCAGCAGCTGGGAGACAGTATGCTTCAGATATATAGTTCACATTGACAACATCCAAAATTTATTTTTTAGCAACGGGCTAAAACACATCTGTGATGAACAACCAAAATTGCATCTTATAAAGCAACTAAATAACCATAACCCAAAATCCCTATTTATCATAGTTGACCGCATTTCATCTTCTATGAATTTATATTTTAGTAACGGGCTAAAACACATGAATTATAAGAAAAGATCGTAAAATCCAAAATTTCAGGGAAAAAGTTGCAACAAGTTTTGGATTCCTCACCTTAGCGTTGGATATCATTTGCCTCCTTTGATGAACGTCCACAACAAGACCATAATACGTAATTTCAAAAAAAATCCCACGCTGTGAGACCCCAAAATAAAAAGAAATTATCCATTAAAACAAATCAATATTTCTATATTGAAGGGATATAGAAATCAAGTCTATAGCAAACCTTAATAGCAGCTTTAATCATGGGCAATTTCAATCGAAACGGCAACTTATCTGAGAAATCAATTGAAATTATATCCACCTATATCAAAAACAAAAATAAAAGATTAAAACACGCATCCCAACTGTCATTAGATTAAAATTCGAATTAATTAACGACCTCGGATTTTTCGCATGCATGGTCAAATGCATTTTGGTTCAACGGCCTAACGGCAATAATGTCATACGTCTTCAATACCGGATTTCTGGAATTTAAAGCTTGTGACTGCGACGCAGTGTCGATGCAGATGGTGAGGCGCGTGTACTGGCGGAAAGGAGAGGAGCGAGGGACTCCGAGGAGGTCTCGGTGGAAGTTTACGCAAGAGGAGAGAAAAGGGGCGATATTGAGGAGAGAGGAGAGACTGAGGAGAGGGGTCGAACAACGGTCGCGATCAGACATGACCGCCCCTTATCGTACGGTTGTAAGCGATTCCCGTATAACCCAGTTCCATCGCTTTGATCACGATTTTAATGCGGGTGGATTTTGCGGCGGTGTTCGCCTTGTTGGCCGGCGTGGAATCGGCGTACGGAATATTAAGATCAAAAAACCCCATAAGCTCTTAGACAGAGATTAAAAGGTAAGGGTTTTGAGGGGACTTTAATGGTGTAGGGTATAAAGATGAAGACGATGAGGGATTTGCGGCTTTGGGTTTTTTTCTTTATGAAGAAACAAAACGACGACGTATAAAGCTTAATAAATAATTACACTTGGATCATATCGATATAATGGGCCCAAAAACGACGATGAGGGCTTACTTGTTGGGCTGACAATTAGCAAAATGGCGGCTGGTTGACGCTCGAAAAAAACCGACCTCGAGTTTTCATTTTTCAGCTCACAAAAGAAACACAACCCATAAGACGCGCTTCAAAATAGCCGCTAAAACAATCGACGTCAGCGATCCGCGTCGATGCTTGTCCTCATCTCAACTCTCAGTTATGTCTTAATCAACGGCCATAATCCATAGTTAAAACACATCACGGATCACTATCCCTAACAACATCTTCCATAAATACCCCATCATTTGGTCTGAATCCGTACTCAAATCCACTCTCTAAAATCAGTCTAAGCTATCAAAACAAGTTCAAAATTCGGAGATGTCGGGAAGAGGGAAAGGGAGGCAAGGGATTGGGCAAGGGAGGAGCAAAGCGCCATCGTAAGGTCCTCCGAGATAACATCCAGGGTATCACGAAGCCGGCAATTCGGCGCTTGGCTCGTCGAGGAGGAGTCAAGCGTATCAGCGGTCTAATCTATGAGGAAACCCGTGGAGTTTTGAAGATCTTCTTGGAGAACGTGATTCGTGATGCAGTTACCTACACCGAACATGCGAGGAGGAAGACTGTGACTGCCATGGATGTGGTGTATGCACTGAAGAGGCAGGGTAGGACTTTGTATGGATTTGGTGGTTAAATGACTTGGGAATTGGAGGGCTTTCGGGGATTCGATGCCATTTCATCAAGAATGTATGAACTTAGGATTAGGGTTAGGGCTTGTATTGGGATTACTGGAAATTTGACTTGTTTTACTTTGAAATTATGAATCTTGTTGGTCTTTCGTTTGGGTTCTTAATTATTTAAATACTTTGAACTGGAATTTTCTGGAACCACCAATCTCTCGTTAAATCGATATTATTGTGGATTTCGAGAGTTGATATGACATGTGGATTCTTTCCGTGGTTAATGTTATATATTGATTGAAGAGTAAATATTATCTGATCAAACGTTTTCCAATCTCATCCGTGGAGTTTGAGCTGTCTGTGGGCGACCCATGCATGTTGTTGAATTGATTAGAACTATAACTAAGGGCTTGGAATCGTTACTGTTCCATGTTTTCCGATTGTTTTTCCTTTTTCTTTTTTTGGATCTGACTGAGATAATAAAATAATAAAACAATTGAGTGGATGAGAATAAGGATGGCAGATGTACAGTTTCGTATCTGTTTAATTGGAGCGGAGATTAATATAATTTTAACGGTTAATGGGTAGGTTTGGATTTAGAAAATTGTATTCGTCGTGGGTAATGGGTTTGAGACATTATCCGTCTAACATTTGTCCGTCCTATTCATCTGCCCCATCCGTCCGTCTAGTTAAATATTTATTAAATTTTGGATATTATAAATTTAGGTCTAATTTTACATACTAATTTATAAATTTTAATATTGTATAAGATATAACTTATAATTTGACTAAATATTAGAGATGAGTTAAGTTTATGCATAATTTTTCCTTTTTAAACCTCTCATTAATCATTATTTATTGTACCGATCTTTTAAACTCCTGATCTCCACTTTCCAGCTCAGGTATGTTTCTTTCTTTTATTTAAATTTAATTTTTTTAAGAGCCATTATTGGCATCTTCAAAAACAACATTTTTCTGAATTCTACGTATTTTTCAGTTTCATAGGCACTCATTGATAATTTATCTTATGTTTTAGGGTTTTCGAGTTTTAACTCTTACCAAACTTTACTTTTTTTGTTTATAGTCTTCTATGAAAAATATTTATGCACTTTCAGAGTTTGATATCTTCTTTATTTCTCTCCACAGTTTTTGAGAGATGAAATTATTTTATTCTTTAAAGTTTTACCTTTTGGAGTTGAAAGCTTCAACTTTTATGCTTCTTTTAGATGTGAATTTTGATGTTTGCACATGGTAGTTGGTTGTTTTCTTTAAGCCAAAAGCCTTGGTATGAGATTGGGATTTCAATTGAAACTCAATGTAAAGCTTGTAATAAACATGGCTTCCAGTAAAATTAAAGTATTAGACTTTAAGTCGGTTGTTGTATAGCTAATACATCTTTATTGTGCTCTAGGATTCGGTAGCCTTAAGCTTCTTTGATTTTGAAAATGAAAGGGGGACAAGGAACCCGATAGTACTTATGACAATTTATTTTATGAACTTTTAGTTGCTTGTTAATTAATTACTTCAGTAGTCATTTCGTTTTAAGCTCCTCTATATTTCGTTTTAAGAGTTTAATTTTTATTTGCTCGTATTGATTTTTAATTATTTTTTAGATTCATCTCAATATTTGTTTTAAGCTTAATTTCTTAATGTTCTACAAATCAGTATCTTGTCACTGAGCACCCACATTTTAGGCCAACAGAGTCAGATCGTTCTTTAATTACTGAGTTTCCTGGTCCTTCCATTCTTTAACTGCCGAAGAAAAACAATGAAAGCATCAAGGGAGTTGTCATGGATCTTCTAACTGGAGAAAGTGCTTAAATTATTATGGATGATGGCTCTTGGCTTTTTATTATTTATAAACAAATAAAGTGTATATCTAAACCTTGTCATTGTGAACTGATGCTTTGTGTTTTTAGTTTCGGGGTGCTTTAAGCCTGCTTTGTCATCTCTTAAGTTATAGTAATATTTTGCAAATAACGGGCTGTAAACATTTTGCTGTTAATATTTTGTTGTCTTTTGTCTGTTTGTGGCTGTGTGATTAATATGTGTTTTATGTATCTTATATAACATATTTTATTGTAATTGTAATTACAAAATACATAATGACAAACAAAAATGAGCAACACAATACTACAACCACCTCATCACCATCAATCTCAAAGTCAACCACTACAGCAAGTTCTATCCCAATTTCTGACTGTGGTGACAAAAGTCCAAAACAAACCGATGATGCAGATCCTATGGTCATTCCTTTAACTTCGAGGCATACATCAACAACTTGGACTCACTTTACAAGAAAACGAGTTGGGAAGGAAATAAAAGTTGAATGCAACTACTGCAATAAGCAACTTACTGGAGGACCAAGAGCGGGGACAAGTCACTTAACCGAGCATGCAAATAAATGTGTCAAAAGAAAATGTTTAAATATTCAACAAACAAGGCTATTTGGAACACAAGCTAAAGATGGTGGTTCGAATGACACTCTTTCTTTGGCACCATATGAATTCCGCCAACATAAAGGGAGAAAAGACTTGGCAGAAATGGTCATTTTGCATGAATACCCTCTTACCATTGTTGAGCATTATGGCTTTAGGAAGTACTCCAATACACTTCAACCAAGCTTTAAAGTTCTGCTTCGTAATACAACCAATAAAGATATCATGCAAAGATATGAGACTGAAAAAGAGGGCATAAGTGCATTGTTGATAAAAACAAATAGTATGATCGCCTTGACCACTGACATGTGGACCTCAAGCAATCAAAGAAAGAGATACATGGCTGTCACAGCACACTTTATTGACAATGGATGGAAACTCCAAAGTCGAACACTTAGGTAATATTATTTTAGAAGTTTGTTCCTTTATGAAGTTTCACTTTCCTTTATTTCATGTGTTAATGCATGTCACATTAATAAGATAGGTTTTTGTATGTCCCGACACCTCACATGGTTGAGGTTCTTACTGAACATTTGAAAGAATGCATCCACTCCTGGAATATTGATATCAGGTTGTCTTCTATAACTGTGGATAATTGCACAACTAATGATGCTATGATTGATACTTTGCGTCAAGAGTTTCCTTATGGCTCGCTAATGTTGCATGGATGTTTTTTCATATGCGTTGTTGTGCTCATATACTTAATTTGATTGTTCAAGATGGGTTGAGTGCTGTGATAAAAAATGGTCTTGATAGAATTAGGGATATTGTTGCCTTTTGGACTGCTTCAGATAAAAGAAACCAAAAATTTGAACAAGTAGCTAAGCAAGTGGTTCCTGAATGTACAAAAAAGTTACAACTTGATTACAAGACTAGGTGGAATTCGACCTATGACATGCTTATGGTTGCTTTAAATTATAAGGAGGTATTTGTTATCTTGAGTGGTCGTGAAAGTTTGTTTAAGAATCTGCCACTTAATGAAGATTGACAAAAGGTGGAGAAAATTTGTGAATTATTGGAAGTGTTTAACGATATTAGACTTGTATTTTCTGCCTTAAATATCCCACGGCAAACAATTATTTTCCATGTATTTGTGGGCTTAGAATAACAATGTCGAATTGACTTTCATTGCCTTGTGATTATATAAGAAAGATGGTGCTAGTAATGTTGGAGAAGTACAACAAGTATTGGGCTGATATTAATGGTCTTATGGGCGTGGCCACTATACTTGATCCGAGGTTCAAGCTGAAATTGATTCGTTTCTATTTTGAAAAACAATTATGACGCGTTTACTGTTCAAGCTGAGATTGATAGAATTGAAGGTATTCTACATGAATTGGTGGATGAGTATGGATTTAGAAATGGTAAGAACTAAGCAAGTAAGAGCAAAACCAAATCTGTTGGTTTTTTCAATACCAAAGGCAAAGGAACAATGTTGAACGAGTTTGCTGAATTTGTAGAGAAAAATAATAATGCAATTTCAGAAAAATCAGATTTGGACAGGTACTTAGAAACTGCTAACATACCATTTGTTGATGATTTTGATATTCTTAACTGGTGGAAAACAAATGGAAATAGTTATCCAACTCTCCAACAAATAACAAAGGATATTTTGAGCATTCCTGTCTCCACTGTCCCATCGGAATCTGCATTCAGTATAGGTGGAAGAGTAATTGGCCCTTATCGTAGTCGACTACTTCCGGAGACGATTGAAGAATTAATGTGTGCTCAGAATTGGCTTTGGGCTGATATTAAAGGTAATATTATTATTTAGTTTATATTAGTTGTCAAACTGTGCTTAATTATCTTAGTAAAGTTTAGTTACTAACTTATATTAGTTTTACTTTATATTATATATGTAGGTTGTAGTGAATTTAAATTGAGCGCTCTCAATTGGAGGAAATAGAGAATGATGATTGTAATACTGGAGTATCAGATGTCACAAGTATTGCTTGAAATTTGAGAATGTTGTGCCAAAGAATAAAAATATTATGTGTTTGTCATTTATGTTTCTAGGCTTTAATTATGTCTTTTATTATGGTGTTTTATGAGAATGATGATTGTAATACTATAGTATCAGATGTCACAAGTATTGCCTGAAATTTTAGAATGTTGTGCCAAAGAACAAAAACATTATGTGTTTGCCATTTATGTTTCTAGACTTTAATTATATTTTATTATGGTGTTTTATGTACTTTAAGATCTATATTAACACTTAACTCAGATAATCCTTACTTTATTTTATTATGTTTCTTAATGGACGTGTTTGTTTTATGTTTGTTGCTTATGTATAACTTAAGTTTGCTGTCAGGCAGGTCTAGCCGGGTATGTCTCTAGTTGGGTAGTGGGTGTGGGGATGAATTTGAGAATGTACCCGCGTGGACGGGTGTGGATTTAAAATTTTTTACCTATCATGGGTGGTGGGCGGGTGGTAGATTGAAAAATATTAGGGGGGTATGGGGATGGATGAGGGGGTATCCGCACCCGACCTACCCGTTTTCATCTCTAGATGGAACCAGTTTCAATGCAACCATAATTCTTAGTAATTATAATTTGATTTTAAAGCCAAATCTAGTTTTTATGCAGCTTATTTCAACACATACAATTTTCCAGGTTTATTTAAATCGATGCATGTATTTATATTTTGATTTCCACGTATACTATTTTGTATTTATATTATTTTGGTTTGACGAATTTAGACAAATATTTTTTAAAATGTAATATAATTAACCGTAAGTGCTAAGTTGAATTGAAAATTTTAGGTATCAATTTAAATCAATAAATTAAATTTAGGTGCTTCATTGAAAAAATTATAAATTGAATAATGGAAAAGCTAAGTAAAAAAAAACTAAATTATACAAAAAGAAGTTCTAACTATAAAATTGGATCTAGAAATTAAGTTCAGGCATTAAAATACATGTTCATCCTATTTAAGACAAGTCCTTTTCAGTAGAATTAGGGAAAGAAAATCAGCAATAAAGTTTCACTTGAATTTTATCCACCAAGGAGAGAAACTGAATTTATGGGAAAATGACGTGAGATTAAAAGCAACTGAAATACAATTGTAATCACTCAGCTTTCTGCTTTGATGTTTTGGTTGGAGCAGCATAGCGCAACCCGGTAGTACGTCTGCCAATGAATTTGAGAACCTCGTCAATTAGAATTACCGGGAAAGCAACAGCTATTACCAGGAGCCATTCGTTGAGGCTGAGGGGAACAATCCCAAACACTTGAGCAAGGAATGGCACGTAGAGAATCAAAAAGTGTAGGCCAAATGACACTGACATGGCTAAAAGGAGCCATGGATTCACCCAAGGAGGCATTGTCAACAAGCTTCCATCTTCAGAGAGTGCATTAAGTGAGTTGAACATTTCAATGGCAACCAAGACTGATAGGGAAAGTGTTGATGCTTTGATTTTTCCCGTCTTAAAGTAATCGCAAGGGTCTCTATCGAATTTGAACTCTTGGGGACCTGCTGTGAATGGTGACACTGTGAAATTGTTCCAAGAGGAGCAATGATCCCAGTTGGCAAGTTGGGAGTAGGTAACAAGACTATGGCCGTCTCCACTCAGATTAATGCCCATGAAGGAGTTCTGAGTGTACCATATGATGAATACCCCGACCGTAGCTATCCCAACATACATCCCAATCACCTGCACCAATGAAGGAATTTGATAAATTCACGTAAAGCAGTCAAGGGCATGAAAAAGGAGTTTCCTACTGGTTACCAGGTAGCGGAATAAAATCCAAGCAGTGATTAATGAATCATCACTTCTTCTGGGAGGCTTTTTCATTATATCTTTGTCTGGAGGATTGAAACCTAGAGCAGTTGCTGGAGGTCCATCGGTAACAAGATTAACCCAGAGAAGCTGAACAGGGATCATGCCTTCCGGAATACCCAAAGCAGCTGTCAAAAATATAGAAACAACCTCACCAATATTGGAGGAGATCATGTACCTGCAATTAGGAGTAAAGAAGAACAGATGAAGATAAAAATAACAAAAATGTTCCATTTCAAATATAGCTCGACAAGGTGCAGCTTTTTCATAAGAGGTTGAGCTCAATGCAATTTGCTACTTTTCAGTAAAACCAGCAGCAGAAATGCATGAAGATATGCAGCAAAACTGTCAGTTCATTATCACGTAATAATAATAATGACCTTATGAAAGCCTTCATGTTGTTATAAATGGATCTGCCCTCACCAACTGCAGCAACTATAGTGCTGAAGTTATCATCTGCTAAGACCATGTCAGAGGCCTCCTTTGCAACCTGGAAAGAATCGAGCAGTGAATGGAGAGGAATGGGATTGAATAAAAAAATAATGCATCCATGAATGATGTTTGGAGCTATACATACGGCGTATGCTTTCATTTGGAGCTAATAACATAAATCATTCTGAACTATTAGGCAAAATGGTACTTCACAAGAATAGTACATAATGTACAGAAACAAAACAGGGCACGAAGCATAAAATGATAACACATAAAAAGATAGAGATAATCATATGGACACCATGATGTCATCCACCAATTATACAAAAATAAATAGAGAAAAGGATGTCGGGTACCTCTGTCCCAGCAATGCCCATTGCTATTCCAATATCAGCCAACTTCAACGCAGGAGCATCATTAACTCCATCTCCAGTCATTGCAACCACTTCATCATCCTCCTTCAGCAACCTCACTATTTCTTGCTTGTGCCTTGGCTCAGCCCGAGAAAATAAGAGGCCCCCACTCTGTCTCAGGTGATTTTTCTGATCAGGATAATCCATAAACTCCCTTCCAGTTAAACTTCTTGAACTGATATCTTCATTCAATCCAAATACACCAATTTCACGACAAATAGCTTCTGCTGTGTTCTTGTTGTCTCCTGTGATGACCATAACACGGATCCCAGCTGCTTTGCAGTCCTCAATTGCCTGATGAACCTCTTTCCGAGGAGGATCCTTGATGGTTTGTTCAAGCAGTTCAGATAAAAGTTGGACATGATAAGTAGGAAAACAGAAAATATAGATACAACAGTCAACAAAAAGCAACTTACCCTCAGCCCAACTAAACCAACAAAAACAAGCTTGCTCTCGATTGAAGAATAACTGGATGGATCAAGTAAAAGCTGATGAGCTGGATGATCTTCATCACCATTATATGTTGCAAACTCAAGAAGCCCTTCTTTGTATGCAAAACCAAGGCAACGTAATGCTTCTGTTGACATTTCACGAAGACTCTGTAAAATAAGATCTCTTGAATATTCATCTAGTTCTATGACAGAGCCATCGAGTAGCTGGATGAAGGAGCTCCTCTCCAACAAATTTTCTACAGCACCCTGCAACATTAAGTGTGCACATTTAGAGTGATACTCGAAAGCATCATGATAAAATGCCAATAGGGCATTTACTGGCAGCAAAAAGAAAAGGAAGCTATTGCAAACCTTTACTAGCAACAACTTTCGTCCCGAGCTGGAATTCACAATAACTCCCATGGATTTTCGATCCCGGTCAAACTCAAGTGTTGCAATCCTTTGCTCCATTTTCTTCCACCGTTGACAACAACCTTGTGTAACATAATAAAATAAATGAAAAAACTCAGTACGATCTAGAATTGACACCTAAGGACCAACAAAATTATAAGAAAGTAGCTAACATACGTTGAGGATCCCCATGACTTGATGACGAAGAATTACTCGCTTCAGGAAGTGCCATTTTCTCAACTAGAACCTGGAATGACAGGACAAAATAGTATTCTTCAGAGGGAAAAATATGCAACAAGAACTTTCATAGACTTGGGCTTGTTGAAGCATATGTAGTAGTATACTAAACCAAAAAGGATTTAATTTTAGAAGGAATTTTTAACCTTTAGCGCTGCCTCTGTTGGCATTCCAGTGGCAACATAATGATTCCCAGATTGTTCAATGCCAGCATCATTGCAAACAGCAGAAATCTTTGCAATCATTTCAAGATTAGCATCCATTCCATCAACAGGCCAACCTAGT